AATGAACAGAAAATATGTGAAAAAAATGTTACATAAAAGGGAAAAAAATTACACAGTAAAATAAAAAAATTTGTAAAATAGATTTATTCAGTTTTATTCTATCTTTATAGAAGAAAATTGTTTTTAAAGATAACACTACCATTTTTAAGAAGTCTCTTATGCTCACCAAGGCTGAATTTATTTGATCAAATTACAGAAATAATGTGAAATATTATTAGTTTAATATAACGGTTTTCTTTTTTAAATCGATTTTTAAATCTAACCTATTGTGATGGTAAAGCTTAATTTTCAGCAGCCATTACTACAGTCTTCACTGTCACATGATCCTTCAGAAATAATTTTATTATGCTGATTTGCTGCTCACAAAACATTTCTTATCAAATTTATTATCAACAGTTGTACTGCTTAATATTTTTTGGAAACCATGGTAGATTTTTTTAGGATTCTTTGATGAATAGAAAGTTTGAAAGAACATAATTTGTTTGAAATATAATCTTTTGTAACTTTATACGTGTCTTAACTGTCATTTTTATGCAATTTACTGTATGTCCTTGCAAAATTATTCATTATTATTATTTTTTTTACTTTTCTTTCTTTCCCCTAACTTTTAAACAGTAGAATATATTTACATTTCTTTGGATAATATAAATAATTTAAACTTTGCTCTTCCATTTTTCAGGACCCAGATGTTGGCAAAGGGAGTGGTAAGATGCTTTAGTTTTGTTATGTATAGCTTTTTATGATTCACGCTTTTTGTTTTGATTGATATATATAAAGAAATGCATGTGACCCATGGCGTACAAGTTGATATCCAGAGGCTGTGTTTATCTTGTGATGTGTGTCTAGCTGGTTTATCACAGTCTGCAGCTGGTGGCGTTTGCAGTGCTGGCTGTGCTCATCATGAGACTGAAGCTCTTCCTCACTCCTCACATGTGCATCATGTCCTGTTTGATCTGCTCCAGACAGGTGACTGACCATTCACGCTCTATCGTTCACCCCTAAATCTCCATATTACAAGGAAGCTGATTTGAGCAAGAGCTTTTAAATGAAAAATGTGGTGTGACTAATGTTTTGATTTCATCTGCAGCTGTTCGGCTGGGTAGGAGAGAAGTTTAAACTCCAGTTGACAGTCGTGGGAATATTGTCCATCATGGCAGTCCAAGGAGTCGCCAACCTGCAGAGTCAATGGGACATCATAGGAGAATTCAGTAACTTCCCTCAGGAAGAGCTCCTGGAGTGGATCAAGGACAACACAAGGCCTAGTGAGAAGCTTTTGCTGTTCAACTGCACAAAATGAAACATCTCACTTCATGTGACCAGTGTCTGACTGCTGCATCCATGCAATATTCCTGTAGATGCTGTGTTTGCTGGTGCAATGCCCACTATGGCGAGTGTGAAACTGTCCACAGGAAGAGCCATAGTGAACCACCCGCACTATGAAGACGCAGGATTGAGGTAGACACGATTTAACATACATTTTGTAGGTACTTATCCTAATATTTAATCCTTTAATAATGTTCTGTTATTGTAAAGAGTTTGATTTCATTGTGTCCTTATTCAGAGAAAGAACAAAGATGATATATGCCATGTACAGCCGAAAGCCAGCTGAGGTAGTGAAGCGAAACTTATTAATGCTGCAGGTGGACTATTTCATCTTAGAGGACTTGTGGTGCACCAGACGCTCCAAGTAAGTGCCGCATACTTTGAATTAATACCGCTGTATGATAATTTCTTTTATGTCACATGTGTTTCTTCTTCATCTCCAGGCCCGGTTGCAGCATGCCTGAGATCTGGGATGTGGAGGATGCCCAGAATGCAGGAAAAGTGCCACTTTGCACTGTCATGTGGCGGGATTCACGTCCTCACTTCTCCACTATCTTTCACAACAACATTTACAAAGTCCTTCGAGTTCCCAAAACAGTGAGAGATATGAGATAACAGCCGTTTTTCCATCGCCTTACTGTTTTCCTGTCTTTGACGTGTGTGTGTGTGTGTATGTACACAGCAATGATTATTTTTTGTGAAGGTCAGATGTGTTTTTCTTGAGCCCTGCTTCTGCCACTTTGGTGTCCGTTTTGTTTTGATAAGCTGTACGAGATGTTTAAACCGCAGTGAGAGTCAATCAGTATTGAATCACCCCTTTTCACTTAAAGGAATAGTTCACCTAAAAATGAAATTTGCTGAAAATTTACTTACCTTCAGGTCATCCTAAGATGTAGATGAGTTTGTTTCTTCATCAGAACAGATTTTGTCCAAACGCATGCTCATTCTGACGGCACCCATTCACTCACTGCAGAGGATCCATTGGTGAGCAAGTGATGTAATGCTAAATTTCTCTGAATCTGTTCTGATGAAGAAAAACTCAACTTCATCTTTGTTGGCCTAAGGGTGAATCAATTTTCAGCAAATTTCCATTTTTTATGTACTATTCCTTTAACCGTCTGCTCTCATGCTTGTTGAAATGTCTTTTATTAGGATGACTGTGATTTTTGCCATCGATGGTGCTGCTGTTTGCCGGTTGAGTTTGGTCCAGACAATTGTTTACTTAAATCATTTAATTTTTTTTGTTGCAAAAAATATTTTATTCAATCTATTTTAAACCTGTGAAGTATTGTAAAACACTTTTCGTGTATAGTTTTAACATTTGCATTTATTTTGGGCAGATGCTCTTACCAAAGTGACCTACAAAAAAGTTATATATATATATACACGTATATAGTTTGAGGGATGATTATGGTAGTCTATTGTCTTATTTTTTTTTAATCTGCAAACTCAATTTAATTAGTCAATGGTTGTAGATAAACTGCTTGTTACTCTTTTTGTGTGTGGAAAACATGATCAGTGTTATGTATTAGAGAATCTTAAAGTATTGTTTTTTTCTGTTTTATCCTTTAAATGTCTTGCTCAGTTGTATTTGAATTTGGATCATGTCTGTTTCTGTACTGAGGTTTACCAGTGCTAGCAAGTCTAGTTTCAAAATAGAAACAGAAAAGTTTTTGCCCCAGTTCCTTACCTGACGTCATGTAATAATAATAGTCCAAGCTGAAGGACTGTAATCACTGCCAAAGTATTATTAAAGATATCAATTTGTACTATGTGTTCTGTTGTAATTTAGAAATGTCCTTTACATTTCATTTTGCATGCATGATAAAGAACTTAACTTTCATTTTGTTTATCACAGAACATTTATTTCACCAATTAAATGTTATTTAAATCATTAATTAGATCTTTTTGTTTTTGAGTATAATGTTGATGTTAATATTAATGCACTGTACGTTTTCATCAAATGAACTGGACAACGTGGTCCGACTATTTTGCTGGTGAAGAAGTCTGTTCTTTTTTGTTTGTAAATTGCTAATAAGAATATAGCTCATTTAAATTTTCTTTGAATCGTCCCCATTCACGCTCAAAAAAAGATTATTTGGCTAGTGTTAAAGTGTGCCTTAAAAGTTTCTTGAAAAATGATGACTGAAACAAACACTTTAAAGCTACACGTAACATCTGGCCCTCTAGCGGTTAAAAAAAATCAAACTGCACGCGTCTTGCGACAGATGAGTGCTGCGGTGCGGTTGCGCTTCTGCTCTTAGCTCGTGTATGTGGTTCAACTTCGAGGCACCGGTGAACGCATGGATACAGATAATGAGTGTACGTCTTATAAGAGCAGGTTTAAAACAACAAAAGAACAAGCGGGGTTTTATTTTTAATGTTGCCGTTTTTAATGATCTATGGTCGATTTTTCTCGTTCGTTGTGACGGTTTCAGATTACTAGCAGTGTTGCTACGTTTCTGTTTACGGACATGACGCATGCATGCAATTTCCCGCGAAATCCGCCCCGACAGCTCTAAAAATAAATCTAATTATTATTTATAGGTTATGAAAGTGTATGTGGGTAACACAGTTTGGAAGACTACAATAATATCCCACACAATAAAAACCAACACAAACGGTATCAGACACATTAACTTTTTTTTTCTTCCTTTAATAAACAACTTCAACATTACAAAAGACAGCTCTCTCCCCTGTGTGTATATATTGTACAAATTCAACATTTTGTATTTAATGTCCTACATTTTTTTAAATATTGATTTGGCCAGTTCAAACGGGAAACATCTGTCTGAACTGGGCAGAATTCTGTAAAAGTACACGTTTAATACATTGTGCAGACAGAAGCTCAGAACACCACGGCAGCAATACTTGTTCAGAGTCTTACTGTGAGGCTAAAGGAAGATACTATCTGCATATGACTGAAAACCTTCTTCAAGATATTCAATTTTATTCCCACCCACAGACTCCAGCATTTATTGATCATATTTAACAAGCAATTTGCGGCAAGAATAAGTGTACAGAATGAACCTACTGAATTACAAATCAAAGAGTGCTTTCACATACAGTATAGCAGTCAGAGGTATTTCATTTTCACTGTGGGATCTATGAAGTGTTGTGTGAGTATGAGGACAGTAAGCTTGTGTACCACTGCATGCATATCACAAATCAAATGAGCTATACAGACTTAAAAACAAAAACAAAAAAAAGCTGATTTTTTTTGCCCTTGCAATTCAGTTTACAACTCACAATTCTTTTTTTCCCCCCTCAAAATTGTAAAATAAAAAGTCACAATTACCTTTTTTTTTTTTTTTAAATCCCAATATGGAAATAAGCTTCCACACAGTATAAACCAGCTCAAAACAAGTATAATATATATATATATATAAATTGACAATTGCTCTGTTGGAGTATTATAAAAATTGCAAAAAAAGGTCAACATCTGTAGCCTTTAAAATGTTTTTGGCATGAACAAAACGGCATAAAAAGACAACTTTTTTGTCCAGTGTAAAATTAAAAGACATTTCTCATAAAATGAGAAGTAAAAAAGAGGACATGTGATTTTTTTTAAAACATAAAAAAAAATGA